AGATGCCGGGAAGTAGGTACCTGTAAGCAGATAATAGAAAGTAGATACAAATTTTACACTTCCTATAAGCAGTCACGGATAAGTAGAAACCTGTAAGTAGATACAAGGAAGTACTTACAAGGTGATACACGTAAGTATCCACTTGTAAGTCCATGCCCGTATTAGCGGCGACGGTTCCCACGCTGCGTCCGAATCTCCAGTCGAGTTTCGTCCTTCCAAAATGGCGGAAGTCTGAGTGTCCGAATAACAGCGCTAATCCTATTGATTTTCCCGAAGTGTGCGAATAGGAAACAGATGTACGAAAAAAAAAAAAAAATGGCGGTTACCTTCCTTCGAGTCACGACCAGAATGGGGAGGGACGAAGGAAGTGAATTGAAAGGAAAAAAAAAATGGATAAAAAGATGAAAAAGGGAGGAAGATTGTATTGTATTTTGTCGTAGTCGTATTGTATTTTGATGTCGCTGATTCTATTTATGGAGAGAAATGTGTGTGTATTGATATTTTTTTCTCAGTACTTCAAGAATGTTCTAAGTCATGTTAATGTAGTCATCAAGTGTATGTTTGTGCATGTCATGAAATATAACAGCGATTTTTTGTTTTATTGCGAGAATTATCACACGTAAAATACATCCTTGTACAGTTCAGTAACCGCTATAAAAAGAAGAGAGAGAGAGAGAGAGAGAGAGAGAGAGAGAGAGAGAGAGAGAGAGAGAGAGAGAGAGAGAGAGAGAGAGAGAGAGAGAGAGAGAGAGAGAGAGTGAGAGAGAGAGAAGAGAAGAGAGAGAGAGAGAGTGGGGAGAGGGAGAGAGGGGAGGGAGAGTGAGAGAGAGACAGAGTTAGGACGAGAGAGAGAGAGACACAGACACAACAGGAAGAGAGAGAGAGGATGGGGAGCGAGAGAGTCAGAGAGAAAGAAAGAAAGAGAAACATAGGCAGAGAGAGAAACATCAATCTCTTCATATATCAATCTCATTCTATCTATACTACTATATGGACTAAATATCACCGAGTCAGAGGATCGGAATGTTTATTAAAAAAAAAAAAAAAAAAAAAAAAACTAGTATATAGCGTTTTTTTTTTTTTTTTTTATATACTTTTTTTACTTTTTTTTTTTTTTTTTTTTTTACTTTTTTTGCGTTTTTTTCTTTTTTTTTGCGTTTTTTGCGCCTCTGAATCAGTCGAGGAAATATTTGCGATGAACGTGGAGAGATTCTTCAGAGAGAGGAATGAGGTTGAGTGATGCTTAGAAAAGAAAGAAAGAAAGAAAAAAGTTGTTCTCTTCACTGGCTTTTATTATTGTCTCTTTTGTGTCTTTTTTTTTTTATTCTTTCTCTCTCTCTCTCTTTTCCTGGATTTTGTTATTGTCTCTTTTTTAATTCTTTTCTCTCTTTTCTCCTGGATTTTTGTTATTGTCTGTTTCTTATTTTTTTTTCTTTTTTTCTTTCTCTCTTTCTCTCCTCTCCCCCACCCTTTACCCATCCTTTACTCCTTCCCTCCTTCCCTCCAGTTGATGATCTCTCTTCTTTCTTCTCCTTCTCCTTCCTTCCCTCCTTTTACCTATTCTCCTTCACTCCATTTAGCTATCTCCTACCTCCCTTTACCAATCCCTCCTCCTCCCTCCTCCCCTCTCTCACTTCCCTCCCTCCTCCCTCTCTCCTTCCCTCTCTCCCTCCTCCTTCTACCCTCTCTCCTCCCTCCTTCTACCCTCCCCTCCCTCTCTCCTTCCTCCGTCCCTCCCTCCTTCTACCCTCCTTCTCTCCTTCCTCCCCTCCTTCTACCCTCCTCCCTCCATCTCTCCTTCCCTCCCTCCTTCTCCTCCTTCTACCCTCCTTCCTCAGGTTGATGCTCCTTTCAGAACGCTCGCCCACTTTATTACGGGAAATGCTCCCCTGACCGGAAGTCGGTATCACTTGGCGGCGCGCGCGTGAGAAGGGTTGGTCACTAGGATGGGAGGGAGGGAGGGAGAGGGAGGGGGAGGGAGGGAGGGAGGGAGGAAGGAGGGAGGAGGAGGAAGGGAGGAGGGAGGAGGGAGAGGGAGAGGGGAGGGAGGGGAGGGAGAGAGAGAGAGAGGGAGAAGGGGGAAGAGGGGAGGGAGGGAGGAAAGAGAGAGAGACAGAGAGAGAGAGTGGGAGTGAGAAAGAGAAGTGAGAGAGAGAGAGAGTGAAGAGAAAGAATTGAGAGAGGAGAGAGGGAGAGAGAGAGGGAGGGAGGGAGAGGGGGAAAGAGAGACAGGAGAAGGAGAGAGAGTGAGTGGAGTGAGAAAGAAGAGAGAGAAGTGAAGAGAGAAAGAGAGAAGCTAAAGAGGGAGAGGAAGAGAAAGGTCTACGTTAGACAGGCTTCCTTTTTTTTGCAATTGCTAGAGGCGATTTTTTGCAGTTGGTCTGATCCGTTAAATTAGGTTAGATCCGTGTTAGATACGTTGGAGAAGAGAGACGCTTTTGCAATTGTCTTTCTGAGAGTGATTCACTGCAGTTAGATAATTATGATAATGATGATTATA